GAGTGAAGAGTTAGGGGTTATGATTAGGGAAAGGTTGTTGCAGGGGAAGGATGTTGTTGGCTAGCTCCTCGTTCAATGTTACTGGAAGTTGTGGCATCTGCCTCATAAATTCTGATGTTTCATTCCAGCTGAAAATGGAACAGAAAAGAAGCATGTCAGTGCTTTTGTGACATGGAGATGATAATTTATACCAAAATCAGTAAATAAGAAAAGGATAACATATTTGGTTTGCTGGTCGAAATTTAGCTTCAAAACATAACATATGTCTTGGTGAATTTCCATAGAATGAGACATTAGTACTCGTCAAATTTAAAGTGCCACACAGTCATATCTTGTAAATGATTCGAATTTTCTTTCCACCCCCACACCTTTAACTCTTGAAGGCATAAGTGAATGAATATGGGATCAGATTTCGAGTATGAGAAAGAGTGAAAAAGATGTGTCTAGTGCTGGAAGATTTAATTATGAGCACAAACAAGAACATACTTGTTCATAATTTTGAAGATGTTGCTCCGAATTTGGCAGAAGAGATTGATGTTGTCCTCTAACTGAAACAAAAATAGATTCAAGATTCAAGATCCATTAGACAGCTTGGAAGGATGAAGTGCAAACAAGATAAATAATATGATCTACCGTATCCAGAACAAACAGCAAGAGACATTATTTACTTGGTAACAGCCATACTTGGGTTCATTTGCCATATGAAACAGACTAACTTTAACACATCAAATACAAATTTGAGGAAAAGAAATTTCAGATGAGAAAAGTAAAATAAAATCATAAAGATTAATTACTCAATATAACACTTCTATATCATATAAATGAGATCAACAATAAAACATATATTTGATTATACCACAAGGTGAATATTCACCTCCAAAGATGCAAGATTTGTAGATATTCGATTGATGGCCTGTGCATTCTGTTGAAGAAGCTCTCCTGTAACACCACCCATGGCTGAAAACAGTACAGTGCAGTTTCCAATTTAATCTCTTGTTATGATGATATTGAAGATACAAAGATATAAATTATCTAATAACAACTCCCTACAGTCAAACCTAAACAACAACAACAACAACAACAACAAAATGGCCTACAGATGCAGATTCCTCTCTGAAAACAAGTTATGTATCAGTGGATTATGAAGGGCCAAGGATAAAAACAGGCTAACAATAAATCCGACTCAGAGGACATCTAATCCTAACTATAATTTCAAGTTCTTTGAGTCACCTGATTATGACACAGACATTGAGAGTATGAATAAAACTACTATTCCAGAAACAATACTTGAAATATATTGATAAATGAGGAAACAAGCAGACACTCGTACTAAATTTAGTGAGAATGAAGTTGGGAAAATAAATAAATAAATAAATTAAATGTCAACCAAAACTTTCCATTATCCAAAGGATATAAAGACCTTTCAAAGGTTAGACTCAAACCTTTGACTGAAATATCATCATCATAGTTTGGAGGAATCATTGTTGACAGTGACCCATATGGAACGTTAGTATGGGAACCAAAGTAAACTGGCTTTGCTGAAGGATCAGAAACTCTTTCCTGCAAAACAAAATCAAAAGAAATTCCTTAAGATCTGTTTTTTATTCTACTACTTCCTGTCATATCAAGAGATACTGTCATGAATCATAAAACACTAGGAGTAGATTAAGGACAGCTCAGGATAAAAAAGAATAAAAAAAAAAACTTATAATAAGACCTCAAAGAAAAGGCAACAGGAGAAATCATGCATCCAACTAAAATGAAGAGCATGCAGCAATCAAACTGAACCATGAACCTCAACACAGAATATATTTTCTTTCATGGTGACAAAACTTGGCAACACACAACAGATGAGAGATGATACAAAGTAGATATCATGCATCCAACAAAACTGAAGAGCATACAGCAATCAACTTGATCCATGAACCTTAACACAGAATAAATTTTCTTTTGTGATGCAAAACTTGGCAACAACACACAACAGATAAGAGATAATACCAAGTTGATCATACCCTTTTGTCTCTGCTTTTCCTGGTTGAATTATGTTCTTCCTTCCTTCTTTTGCTAATTTCCTTTTTCTGGAGAAAAAATGGATCAGTTCAAGATGTCAAAACCACAAATAAAAAAATTACTGAGTACTGAGTGATGTCTAAAAAAAAAGCAGCATTTGTTATATTACTATTACACTATAAATAGAAATGTGATATCCTTTTAAGTTTCAAACCATGTAGATTTGCCACATTTTCAAATTTGAATTTAAAAGTCTATATATCCAAATAACTTTAAAAGTCTAATTATCAAGATAATTTAAAAGGGTATCTATCAAAATAATTTGAAAGTCAAACTATCAAAATAATTGAAAATGAGAGATCTCCATTTTAGTAAAAATAAGGCTTACAGTCATCCATCTGGAACGTAAAGCCACATCTCGTACAGTCTTATTTGGAAGGTGTACAGCTATCTTCGCATATCGACTTATGAACGGTTCTGATGCATATCTGAAATAGCAAGATCACAAGATTCAAAAAGGTTCAATGTAATATCAATATTAATGCCAGAAACAGAGTACCTGGGCAGGACAGTGAGCAATATATATCTTGAAAATCACACTACAAAAATCATAATAATACATAAAAGAAGTCTCAAAATGCTGTTGAAGTTCCTACAAGCATATTATATGCTCATATACAATCAGTCAGTCACAAAATATTTTTATTATTATGATAATGAAATTAAGGGGGATTAGATACTACTAAACAGAGAGATATACAAATGGAAGCAGCATACGTAGGGGTACTCCAAGTTTTCCACATAATAATGCACATATTATATGTTCTTCTGCCTTATGTGCATTTGGGGCAATAACAGTGAAGTTTCTGAGGGTACACAAATTTCTGGTTGAAAACTATATACAGAAAGTTACTTATTTGGAAAACATTGATTGCAGGGAATAATTGTACATGCAAAAGAAAATTAATTCAAACACTAAAATTCATTTGTGAGAATTCATAAAAAGTAAACTCGCAGAAGGCTTGTGGTAAGAAAGAGAAAATGGTTTGGATATAGTTTTCAACCAGAAATTGCTGCTGCAGTTAGAAACTTCACTGTCATTACCACAAGTCCACATAAATAAAAGAGCAGATAAGATCTCAAGGCTCCAGGCCTAGAGGACCGAAATAGGTGATGTTAGGCAATATAAATGCATTCCCTCCATCCAAGGAGAGGGGGACAGGTGAAGGAACACCTAACAAGGTCAATAAATTAATAATGCACATGCTTTTACACCATTTGGCCACCCTGCCTTAATAATATTGACTCACACATAATTACTCCCTCCTTTTTCCTTACTTATGAAATTTAGTGTTTCAATTTTAATTGTCTGCTTTCTATTTATATGGGACAATACCTACTATTATTCCAACTTTATCAAGGATAAATGTGATAAAAGCTTTTATTACGGATAAATGTGATAGAGCTTTTATTAGGGATAAATGTGTCATTTTCACAACTAATTATCTAAATGGAACCGAGGGAGTAGAGTAAACATCAGTCTCTTTCTTTTTCTTTCTTGCATGCTGTAAGGTACCTTTTTCTTCTTCTTTCTTCAGCGTTTCCAATCATTAAAATATGAAAAGAAGGACAAAAGAAGAAGAAAAAAAAAAAAAAACCCAACAAAGGTTAAAGATTTCATAGTTGTCCAAACAATAATGTATTCAGTCAACCAAATAATCCAAAGGAAAATGCAAAGTATTCAATATTCAATCTAAAACTTAAAACCCTGATTAAATTAAGCACAAATGCCTATATTAACATAGAAAAATTACTCAACCAGCAAGAAGCATAAAACTCAAATTTAGCAGCTTTATTATCCAAAATTTGATTTGAAGTCTGGATACCCAAACCATTCTAACCAAGAAAAGTCTCAAACATGCAAAAGCATCTGCAGAATTGCATCAAAACCCGGAAATATATCATTCTTCAGCGAAAAACCCAAGTCTTTAAAAAGGCAAGAAAGGACAAAGAAGCTCACTTTTTTAGGCCGTCTTCAAGAACCGCCTGCTCCTCTGCCGTCCACTCCAGCGCGATACCGGAATCAAGCTTCAAACTCGAAGCTGAACAATCAGGTGCCAGATTGCCGTTGGTGGGGTTCGTTCCATTGAAGAAAGTGGACGACGCCCCTTGATTCGCTAGTTCTTGACCGTTCCCAGATGAATTCGCCATTGAATTATCTTCAAGAATTCGATACGATGTAAAGGAACA